CAGTCTCAGGTTAGTATTCTTAGATGTGTGGTGGGGATCACTTTAGTCAGAAAAGTAAATAGCCTGAGCAAAAAGTTTGAATGTGAAAGACATCTGGTCTAGAGGCAAGTTGTTAGTGAGAGAAGAACCAGAAATGGGAAGAAGAGTTCACTTCACACCTAGTACATCAAATGTTAAAAAATTGAGATTTTCTCTTAAGAAGGCAAGCCATTAAAGAGAGATTTAAATACTCAAGCCTGTTCTGTGTGGCCATGAACATCTGGACCTGACTATAGCATATTAGGAAAGGAAAATAGAAAGATGAGGTTTGTGAATTATGGATAATATCTTCACGTGGTTTGATGCTGTTTAGTTGCTTCTGACTCAAAGTAGTGTTAGGTAGAAGAGAACCAAACTTTCCCTGGTCTTCTCCATTCCTGTGATCATTGCTATGTGTGAGCCCCTGTTGGCTACCCATCTCCTCGAAGCTTTTTCTCTTTTGCATGACGTCCTTCTCCAGGAACAGATCCTTCCTGATAACAGGTCCAAAGTATGTGAGATTAAACCTTCCCATCCTCACTTCTAATGAATATTCGGTCTAGGAGTTTCTCCCAAGGAACACTTGTTAGTGGTTTGGGTCATCGGTCCATGGTACAGTCAATATTCTTTAGCAAGACCTTCATGCAAAAGCTCCAATTCTTTCCCAGTCTTCCGTATTCATTGTCCAACTGTTGCATGCATGTGAGGTGATTGAAAATTCCGTGAGTTGAGTCAAGAGCATATTAGTCCATCTTTGTTTTTTAACACTTTACAGAAATCTTTTGAAATCAAGTTGCTCAGTGCAATATATTATTTCATTTCTTGAATGCTGCTTCCATGGGTCTTGTTTCTGCATCCAAGTGAAATGAAAATCCTTGAAAACCGCAATATTTTCTGATTTTAATGAAGCTGCTTATTGACCCTGTTGTGAGAAGTTTTGAATTCTTTATGATAAGATGTAAACCATACTGAAAGCTGTCACCTTCACTCTTCATCAGTATTTCAATTCCAGTTTGCTTTCAGCAAGCAAGGCTGTGCCATTTGTATCTTGCAGGTCATTAATGATCCTTCCTCCACACTTGATGCTAGGTTCTTTATAAAGGCCAGTTTCTTGGATTCTTTGCACAGCATGCAGACTGATTAAATATGGTGAAAGCATAGGAGTACAAAAATCTCACCACTTTTCTATAGGGCATTATTTAACTATATCTATCAAGAACCTAAAGCGCCATGGTGGCATAGTGGTTATGCACTGGGCTGCTAGCTTCAAGGTCAGTTCGAAACCACCAGCCACTCCACGGGAGAAAGACAGGGCTTTCTACTCCTCTAAAGAGTTGCAGTTTCCCTTCACCCACTTTTCTGTTGTCCATCTCCCAGGGATTACACTGTCCAACGTCTCCCTTCACCCACTTTTCTGTTGTCAGACAGTGTAAGATATGACAAAATAATAATTTATAAATTATCAAGGGTTCATGATGGAGGGGGGAGCAGGGAGGGAGGGGAAATGAGGAACTGATGCCAGGGGCTTAAGTGGAGAGCAAATGTTTTGAGAATGATGAGGACAACGAATGTACAAATGTGCTTGACATAATTGATGTATGTATGGATTGTGTTAAGAGTTGTACAAGCCCCCAATAAAATTATTTTTTTTAAAACACACAAACTGTGCTAAACATCACCTGAGAAAACAAAAGCTTCAGATGTTAAGCAAATAAAGTATCTGGCAATAAAAAGCATAATGGAATCTGTAAGAAAAAATAGAGTTGCAGTCTTGGAAATTCAAAGAGGCAATCCTATCCTGTCCTCTAGCATCACTATGAGTCAGCATTGACTTGATGGCATTGAGTTTGTTGTTTTGGTATCAAGAACCTGGGACCCCTGGTGGTAATGTGAGTCAAGCATTGGACTGCCAACTGCAAGGTCAGGAGTTCAAGCCCACAGCGGTAGAAGGAAGATGAGGTGGTCTGATCCTGGAAGCATTTACAAACTCAGAAACCTAGAGATTCTATGAGTCTGAATTGATTTGTTTTGGTTTTGTTATCAAGAACCTGGGCCCAATAACTTCATTTCTAAAATTTCGTTTGAAGGATTCAGAGAATCCACTTTTACCTCATACTTTTATCATATGTCCTAAGTCTGTAAAATAGTAATTCCCAGATAGTTTTTTAAATCATTTTATTGGGGGCTCATACAACTCTTATCATAATCCATACATACATCAATTGTATAAAGCACATTTGTACATTCATTACCGTCATCATTCTCAAAACCTTTGCTCTGCTCCTCTAGTTCTTTTCCCAGATAGGTAATGCTTATCCAAACTGCTTTTTGCCAGAAAGCCAGCACAGAGTAAAAAGCACATTGGTATTTTTGTTGAAATCCTCCCAGATCATACTGAGCCCCAATCCCAGAGTTGAAGCCTGGGATTTCTTCCTCTCTTCTCAGGTGTTCTACTCTCATGAGGAGTTACAGTCTTGAAAATTCATAGGAGCAGTTCTACCCTATCCTATCGGATCCCTATGAATCAGCATGGACTGTTGGGAGTGAGTTGGGTTTGGGCTTTGGTCTCATTTTCAGAGAGTTATCAGGGAATCTCACACATTTATTATGTCTATTGAGCCTCACATCAACCCTGTTCGCAAATGATGAAATGCAAAACGTGATATTTTCCAAATGTTGTTGTTGTTATTGTTGTTACAACAGAAAGGCCTATGGCTCGATCCTGCACCAGCCTCACAATTGTTAGGTTTGAGCCCATTATTGCAGCTACTGTGTCGATTCATCTAGTTGAGAGGCTTCCTTTTTTGTACTGACCTTCTGTTTTACCAAGCACAAAGCAATTTTTCCAGGGACTGGTCTCTTGGAGCTAGATGATCTCCATTCCAACTTATCCAGCGTCTCCCCTCAAGCTATGTTACGAAAAAGTATAAGTTCCAGAGTCGAGACTAGAACCCAAATGGCCTGCTCCAGCCATCTTTTTATGCTCTACACCATTGGTTGGTACATGGTAGACCTTCTCTACACAAAGGAATTTGAGCTTTAACGAAAACATGAAAAGTGAAATTTTAACAAGCATGTATCTTTTTATGTTGATTTTAATAACATGTTAATGCCTGGATTGATTTCTATTCACATTTCTCTTCTGCTTTGTGTGTGTGTGTGTGTGTGTGTGTGTATATATATATATTTTAAGAACAACATACGGAGCTGCTGCTGTTATAAAAACATAAGTCTATAGCTGGGACTGTAGAATATTATAGTTAAAATTGCTTGGACATCACAGGCAAAAGAACAAACACTTAAGGGATTGCTTTTTTTATTTCATAAGAACTCGAGTTTTACTATTTTTATCTTTCATCCACATTTATTTGAGCAATGAAAAGGTTTTTTTTCCCATTGTGTTAAATATTCTTTGAAAACACAAGATCAATATCAATATGTA